ACCAAGACATAAACCATACTAGTTAGGATAGGCACTAGTGCTCCTCTGTGTTAAATGTGAGGTTTTAGAGGTCTTCTTGTTCCAATGCACGTTTCCTGATTTACAGAAATGAACTCAGATTGGATCAGAGCCAAATTAGCATCATTATCCTGCAGAATACTACTTAATACTGCATGCGTTATTTAACCATCCCATATCCAATCAGGTCTCTATTGGTTAGCAGGTTACTGATGTTCATGTAAATGTCTGAAGCCAACCTCTGTTCTTTGTGTGTTTTCCTCCATGTTTTGTCTTTATCTTTGGTTAACTACAGAAACGTTAATAGTTTTTTTATTTATTTATTTTTTTACTTACCAAGTTTGCTCAGATTTAAAATAGAGACTCTCGATGAAATCTTTTTTTTTCCATTATGAATTTATTCTTTTTTTAATCCCCTCTTCATACCTTACTATGAGAATCTCTTCTGGTGTGACCAAACCTGTCAGCAACAGACCAGTCACTAATGGGTCCCTCTCAGGGCAAAGCCTATAGATAGAAGGATGTCCTGTCTGTCCAGTGGTTTGTAGATTCACCATCCTTAGTCTAGTTCTCCCTCCCCTTAGCATTGTATGAAAGGGAGTACGGCACACTTCGGAAACTGCTGTAATCTGATGACTGGTCCGGCTCCTCTGTTATATATGGAACCAAAAGGAAAGTCTGAAGCTGATTTTTATCCTCTGCTTTTATAATAATTGGAGGAATAGTTTGGATGATGTAAAAGTCGTCGTCACTCCTGCCCAGCTTCTATTCGTAGAGCTTTGTCCCTTTGGGTGGTTTATGAGATCGATCCAAACAATTCTGCATCTGGACTGCTGAGTGATTCAGAAATGGAAAAGCTGAGATCAGGAAAGATAAATTCCTTCTATCTATCCACAGCGTTTCCGCGGGCCATTAAAATGTATAAAATTATTATTTTTTATATAAAGGCCTTAATTGGCATCAAAATGTGTTAAATGTGATTACGTGAGATTTTAAAAGCTTTATAAAAAATATATATATATATATATTAGGGATGGAGCGGTTTATGAAAACCGTCCGAACCGTTCGGTTCGACTGTCTCGGTTCGGTTCGCGTGTGTTGCGTTCGGTTCATGCGCTGCTCCTTTTTCTCATAGGCGAAGCATTTACACACAAGAGCAGAAGGTGGCGGTACTGCGACCAAAGCCAACCACCAGTAGTAAACAAGAAGAAGAAGAAGCGAAGCAGCGTAGCCGGGTGTAGCAGGGAAAAAAATCAGTCATTGAGAATTGTGTGGGAAAGGCGAGTGGTAGAGATCAGGAGTTGGAAGACGCGCCAGCAGCACTTTATAGGTAGGGGTGGGTATTGGCAAAGAAGTCACGATTCGATTCGAATCACGATTCACATGCCATGGTGCAATTCTATCACGATGCATTGCAATGCGTGAAATATTACGATGCATTCGCAATATTTTCACTGAACACTGTAAGAAACTGTTTTTACCTTCTTTGTTTTTAAAGCCAAAGTGCATCCAAGCATCTGACTTCAAATGTGATGGAGCATATATATATATAAATAGCAGCTACATCTCCCCATGTGTGGGACAGGGGGCTTGTAGAAAAGGCGGTGGGGTCCTGGTCTGTTATGGCAGCATTGGTGGTAGTAGAGCTTCCACCACTGGTCACACCAGAAGGAACAACCTTTAGGAAGACTCCTTGGTTTCAGACGTCCGCAGTTTCTTTGTTAACATATCTTTTTCTGTTATCACACCTTATTTTACCACATTAGAAATATCCTATTTTGCAAATTTATTCTTATGATTTGCATTTTCAAAAATATAAAAAGGATGTTTTGTTTTCTCTGAACTTAAGTAGTGTCTTTAATAAAAAGTTACTGCAGGGTACTTTCTTGCAAATTTCTGGTTGATTTTCTAGAATTTGCAGACTTAAAATTTGATGAAACATAATTTCTTTGGCACAAATCATAGGTTAGCTTTCTATAATTTTGTTCAAATATGCCAGGAATTAATTAAACAGCAACGTGCAGGAGCTTATTAATTTCAGCTTGGTTCCCTAAAGTGAGACCTGGGCTGTGTTCCAATTCATGGGCTGCGTCTTCCAAGGACGCGGTCTACCTAAAGAGCTGCATGCGGCTCCGGAGCCACTGGTTGCAGACCCTTGATTTGGATAAATCAAACATTACGGGCCACATATCTCACTCAGTAACCATTAGAATGACTATTTTCATTAATTCCAGACTTAACTATTCACATACTTGTACCCATTAACACTACCCTTGAAAAACCGATCCATGCCGAGACCGATCCGAGCTCGGATCAGTTAACCAGGCCGAGCTTGGTTCTAAAGAAAGTTTACACATCACGCCATCTCGGTTCCTCGCCTCCTAGTGACGATCTGCGGTATTACTGCCAGTATTGAAGGAGGAAATCAAGCAGTTGGTGGCGGTAATGCACCAAAAGTTTTTGGCAAACCGCCATAAAACAAAAGAAGAAGAAGACAAAGAAGGAGGGAATCAAGCAAATCAAAATGGCGGCACCCGTCACATTCAGAAAGTTATAATTGATTATTATTGCTGTACTTCGGTGTTTGCGGAGGGTCAGGCGAAGACGGCAACCTTTCGTGGATGTTTATAGTTGTTAATCGTTGTTCTTCTTTTTCTTTTGTGTTGGTTGGCAAGCAACTTCCGGAGGGGCATTACCGCCAACTACTGGAATGGAGTGTGAATCGCGATGTGCAGCCCGACTGCTCATGCGCTCTTGTTATCAGAGAACCGAGCCAGGGGAAAAACCGAGCCGAGCCCACCTCTGGAACTGGTCTGCAGTTAGCTCGGTCCGGTTGTGTCTAGCTCGGTTCAGTTCAGTTTGCTTTCCATTTACACACGATAAGTTATCTCAGTTACTGAGCTCGGACCGGTCTCGACACGGTTTTTCAAGGGTAGTGTAAATGGGGTATTGGATTATGTTAAACTGAAATTCCAATATTCACCACCGTTTGGTGCCATTTACCTTTTTCCTCTGATCATGGAGCAGCCGGCTTGCTTGGACTCGCAATGAATCCTGGGAAAACCAAGGCTATGTAGGATACATCGGACCCGTCCTTCAAATCAGGCAAAAAGAAGGACGCATTTTAAGGCCGCATAACGAAGTGTCTTGGTACCTGACCAGACCTCACCGCGCTATGATGTAATCAGCCCAGGAATCTGGCTTTCTGAGGATGCAGCCCATGAACTTGAACGCACCCCTTGTTTAGTAACCTCACTGTTCCAGTTTGGCTGCACTGCAAAAATAATCTAAAAAGGACAAAAAATTGAGAATCTCTTGAAACAATTTCCCTACTTTTGTGCAGGTAAATAAAATGATCTACCAACAGAATGAGTTTATTGGCCCTGAAATAAGATGATTAAATATTCTGCACTGAAAATACATTTTTTTATTTTGTCTTTTTTTATTTTAATCATCCATCTTTACGCAAAAATCTTATTCTGTTAGCAGATCATTTTGCTTACCTACCAAAAATCAGGTGGAATTGCATCACTTTGTAGGAAAATTGTTCCCTTTTAGTTCCCTTTTTGCAGTGTAACCTGGGGAATCTGTGCCAAGCTAGATTTGGGGAACTGTTATCTGTATCATACATTTCTGCCCACATTTTAGCAGAAGCGAGATGCATGTATAAAGCCAGCTTAATAGATAATAAATAAATATTGCAGTTTTGGCATAGTGGCACATTTTTAACCTTTTTTTGCATTGTTTTGTGAGTATAATGCTCCCTCCCACACCCAGACACCTTTACCCTGATGTTACCTCTGCCATGAAGGCAACATAATACATCCAGATCCCATCAGTGCCCCTCTTGTCTTCTCACAGCTGCTTTGTCTCATGTGCTCATCTCTCATTGCTTTTATTTTTGTCGTTGTCCCATCATCTGTGGTCATGTTGCTATGACTGGTTGCTCGACACCTCGGCAAATCGTAACCCTAAACTAGATGTACGACCCTGGAAGGCGTGAGCTCAGAAGCTCCGCGGCCAGTAAAGAAGGTGGAGTCCAGGCGGGAGGGCTCCAGGTGTACCAGCCCCTCGGGTCCGCTGCAGGTAGGAGCTGGGGGGGGCGAGGTAATCAGCCTGGTGCCTTGTTTTACTGATTCCACCTATGATTTTAATATTTTTTTATATATTCAACCAATTTATTGGTTTAGCACAGCAGAAATGAACAAGAACATTTGTTGAGTTATGAGAAACAATTTGACAATCATAAAAATCAGCAGGTTGGTATCTGTCCTTTGCTTCCGATGACCTGAATGTATTCACCTCTGTTTCCAATTCTCTTTTCTCTCCTGCCTTTTTGTCTTTGTGTTTTAGGGCCCGGTGATATACGCCCAGTTGGATCACTCAGGCAGTAAAAATTCATTCCATAAGATGGAGCCCGTGGTCTACGCTGACATCCGCAAAAACTGAAGATGGGGACCAAAAAGCATAAAAAAAAGAACGAAAAAACAAAAAAAAACCTACAGTATGAGACCTCTCTATTAGCTGCTCTTGGGAAGGGTGGGAACGATTTAACAGGGACAGAATCGGTGCAGTTTCTCTCTTCTCCATATTTTGTCCTCTGACAGCATGTTATATGATACACTAAAGTCTTTAGATGTTGACATAAAAACGTAGAAAGCTCAGAAAAACTCCAGTTGGCATCTTGACAGCATCTTTAAAAGGTTATCACAGGGATTAAAATGGAAAAAGTGACTTTAATGACATCATTCCGAGTGTAAATTATTTTATTTTAACCCTAGTATTGCCCCCCCCCCACACGAGCCCAACAGATTTGCAGGCTGTTGCACCGATACCGATAAAACTGAAAGCAGAAAACAGGCAGAGATTTCTGTCTCTTTGAAGAATCGGTTTAAATGAGCGAGATTAAGCTCTTTCTACATAGTTGCAGAACATAACTGCTTATAAACATATTAAAAACCAGTTTAATATCCGTTTTCATCAAAAGATGTGCATGCCACAACCTTAGAAGACTTGGAATATTTCAGTTTCAGGCAACAAAGGGTAACACGCTTTCATCTGACAAACGGAGGATAAATAGTCGGATGTCAGCTGACACCAGAGTATGGCTGAATCCCCCCCTCTGGGCCTTAATTCAAACCACCAATGATAATTGGGTAAAGTACACCCTTACCAAGCAGGAAACGCCCCACAACGTCTTTTAAAAAGAACAAAGTGTTTTTTATCAGATTTCCAACACACTGTGACAACATTTTTAGTTGCCTGAAGGTAGAACTCAATATAACATCTTTCTAAAGGTTAGTAAAAACAGATAAATCATTCCCTGCCGACGGACCGGCATCCAAACCTGGGATTAAAAAAAAATAAATTTAAAAGAATCCAGGAGAAATGAAAGGTTAGAACCCGTTGCGATTATTATTCCTTTTAGGACGTTTAGGACGTCTGGCGTAGCTTCTTGCTGTGAACCGTTCTGATGAACCGTAGAGCGAGTTACGTTCGGCACTTTGGATTGACAGAGGAAACATGGTGGCTGGGGTGCAGCCTTTAAAGATGCTTTATTTGGATAAAGTTTTTCTTCAAAGACACAACCTTTAATTGAGCCGGCGACATCAAGATGTTCACTCCCATTTGGGTCATTATTTATACCTAAAACTAATACATTTACGGTGATTTAATGAATTTAGCTTTAATCGGTAAAAAAAAAAAAGTCTGAGTCTGGGAGCGGCCATTTTTGCCCAAATATAGTAGCCCCTCCCTCCTGCCATCTTCCAGCAGTG